AAGGTACAACGGACGCGCCACGACAGTAAATAGGAAATTGATAAAAGTGTCTCGCAAATTTTTTATTTATTGTACAATTAACATGCATTAAGTCAGACATTATTTTTTAAGCTTTCGAAATTGTTTAATCTTACAAATTGAGCAAATCAATTATCTTGCTCTAACTAATGCGTGTTTTGTCTGTCTGTCGTACTATAGGTCTTTGCACAAACTGATTGCGAGTAGTATCAATGGCGAATGCACAAAAGATTGCAAATATATTTGAGCTTGCTTCAGTTGCCTTTAAGAAACTGGCTGAATTGACTTTGGACCTGAAAATATTTCAAGCTCAGGCTGAACAGGGTCCCTCAACTAGCAGTCGATGGACTATCATCGAGGTGGAACAATTGAAGGAAGCTATTGCGCGTTTTGGAAACGACCTCAATAAAATTGCTAGTGTCATAGAAACTAAAACATTGACCCAAATTAAACACAAGTTGAAGAGTCAGGCTCTAGAGGGACCGGGTCCAGAGCGTGTTGATGGGGGAGAAAACGATGACGAAAAGGATGCTGACAGGTCTCCTGACGACGAGTCGGAGCACGTTCAAGAACTGTCTGAGGTGCCAACTGTATCTGTTGATCGTGGTAGAAGAAAGCAGACATTCTCTGAGAGGAATGATCCGGATCTCCCAGACCAAAAGGTTGGTTTTCCAATCAAATGACCGTGGTTACTCTAGAAACGGCGTCTTGAATCGGCTTCTGGCCCTTCAGTTTTGACGGTACAGAAACCTAAAGGGCCACTGATTGCTAGACATGTCGTCCCGGTTGCAGGGGTTCAAAGACTGCCGATAACGGTGCAGACCTCATCTGCGACCAAACCTCGTGTCGTTCCACCAACTTTGTCGGCCTCTAATGTTCTATCTCACGCACAGATGCGAAAACAGGCGGTTATGTCACAGGAGTCAAAGTATGAGGAATACTCCGAGGTTAGCTTCTCTGGTATTGGCTTCTTTTCTTTTTTCCTTGACCAATTTGTTGTATGAATGTTTCCTGAGGTTCTTTGGTTTAGGTGGCGCTATTAGGACTCTGCAACTCAAAGTTGTCTGCCAGAAGCGGGTGTTTAAATATGTTGCTGATGCCGTACGCATTCTTAGCACCATGAAAACTTCTAAGGGTCATTTGGTTTCCACATTTTTATGCTTACTTGTGGTCCGAAATGCTTAGTCAAAAACTACTTGGTTGTGGACTATCACGGAATCTCTGAAGGGACAGGAGAATGAGTATTGTAACTAAGGCTCTGTAATGACAGTGAGTGCTAGCTGTTAAAATAGCGTCAAAACTTCCTTTTGTGTAGGATGGAGGGGATGAGCACTTTGAAGATGATGACGACGACGACGATGATGAGGAGGAGTCGGATGCACCTTACTACTCTGAAGATGAAGGAGGTGACAATAGTACTCCACAAAACTAAACGCGTAAGTACGTCGCCTCATTCCATCCCGTCTTGTGTGTCTTCACTCCACATTCAGAAAAAACTGTACATAGTGATATCATGTTGAACCTTTGCATGTGTAAAATATGAAAGTTGTGTCTGATACAAAATTTTCACGTGTGATCCTATGAGCAGTGTATGGGACCAAAGGATAGTGTGTTGGCAGAGCAAGCCGTGTGACCATTCGAGTCACTGGTTTCTTTTTAACTTTCTCTTCTAAAGAATTTTTAAATGTCCAGTTACTATCTGCGTTACTTCCGGGCAGGAATGTGCTTGCCTTCTATAGTGAACGCGAATAAGTACATCAGTGATGTATATCAGGCTGTTACCGATTTTTCAAGCGCTTTATAGGATAATGTCCTAGTTTTCATTCCAATAGGTATGGTTTCAATCTGTGTAGCTCCTTCTCCGATGGTTCTGTTCATTAGTATTGAATTGATCGAAATGC